ATGAAAGAAAAACCGCCTAATCTTTTAATAGTCTCTCCGCCTCTCACACGCCTCCCCATGTGTCGTCCCAATGGAGCCGAGATTTAATGACTGTCCCCCCGCAGGGGCGACGTGTGGGGAGGCGTGTGAGAGGCGGAGAGACTATTAAAAGATTAGGCGGTTTTTCTTTCATGTACGTCCGCCATATTTAGTCCCCAGGATTTGTAAAGCCTGGCTCAACAGTTGAACTCGTTGTGAATGCGATACATGTTTTTCGGTTTATTGCTCGCTTTACCAGTGATAAGTTTTCAACCATGTGTACTATAAAAGGTGCCTCCGAAGGTGAAAGGTCCTTCTAGCTGTCACGTTGCCACCATGGTGAAGGCACGGGAGCTCACAAATGAAGAAAGAAATGAAATTGTTTCTCTGAGGGAGGAGGGTATCAATGTTACTCAGATAGCTACCTGATAAAGTGTATCTCGTCAGACTGTGTATAGGTTTGCAGATGGAGGACACTGGTGATGCCCATAAGTTACACCGAAGTGGTCGCCCAAGGAAGGCTAATGCCAGAGACGACAGGCGCCTTTTTTATGCTGTCAAGGAGGTTGGAGCCGTGCAGGGAATTTGCGTTGAAACTTGTCGCGCAGTTTGCAGGTTGAGTTTAGCAAATGAACTGTAGAAAGAAGGCTCCATGCTTCAGGTATTCAGAACAAGGTTGCCAGGAGGAATTGTTTTTTCTGACGATCCATATTCACAGTTAACATCGTGGGTGGGCAAGTGAGGGTATGGAGAACATCGTCCACTTGTCATCTGCCAGAGAATATGCATTTTCTCACTAGACAGTCCACTTCAAAAATGGTTTGGAGGTGCATTGATTTCTACGGTATTGGTGAGGGGGTGTTAATAAGCGGAAATTTGAATCACGATCGATACATTGAAATTCTAGACCAGCACCTTTTAGCATCGGTAGAAAACATCTTTGGGGACATTAACCATCCGTTTATATTTCAAGATAATAACGCTACACCACACAGGACCAGGGCAGTGCAAGAGTGGCTTAGTCAGCATGGTGACAACAGGGTGGACTGGCCTGCCCAATCACCAGACGCAATCCCCCTTGAAAACCTGTGGCAAGATATTTGAAAACAAGTGGTAAAGGATCGCTCTTTTACCAGAAATGATCTAATCCAAAGTGTCTTCAGACCCTGGGCCAACATAGCTCCCAGAAGATTAACGAACCTTTATTAGTTTATGCCTAGAAGGATGGTGGCCATATTGATATCACGTGGCTATCCTACAAAATATTAATTCTGACATAATAACATGTGCTATGTAAGGGCAATGCACTGTTCTGTAAACCTAAAATAAAGATTGACACTTGACACAATCAGCTTTCAATAAAATGCCAATTGAAAAAACTAACAAATCCAGCTGTTGTTCCCCTGAAAGAAAAAAGAAAAATGGCCGGCCTGCAATACTTTTGTCAATCCCCCCCCCCCCCCCCCCGAAACAAGCTTCAAGGGTTTCACGACATCAAAAGCATTTTCTCATCCAGTCATATGACATTTTAAGATGAAAATCCATTGTATTTAGTGGATGAAATATTAAGCTCTCCTGAAACAGAATAAACGAACAGCCAAAGAAACACCTCTCCATTATTTACTTCATACCCTTGTGATAATATAAATGTATAGGATGTGTACACGGCAACATACAACCGCAATTGTCCATTAAAGTCTACACCAAAATAATAGGGGGATGGAGTAGCAGAATTCACAAGTCAAGTGTGGGGCATTGTTCTTTGCTTCATTTCAACTGAAACTTGATCATTGTATGACCAGAAATTCTGGTCATACAATGATCAAGTTTCAGTCAAACGAAAAGGCAGGGGAGACCGGGGCTTGTAGGACTCCGGGATAAATTGACCAGTCGTCAGTTTATGATCGTGAAAAAGGTCCCACGATACACAAAACTTGACCACATGATCGAGGAACGTGACCTTATCCAACAATGCCAAGAAGATATCGGACAGAAAGAAATATACAGTACTTGAATGGTGATTCCAAATGAAACGTTTGCTGCATCTTTTAGTAACTTAGTTGAAGAGACTTTTAAGATCACTTTGTCCACTTGTGATGATATAGATGCATAAGTGTGTACATGGCATCATACTAGAGCAATGTTTTTCATAAAAGTCTATACATACGACTACAGTGTTTAAAGATGCAAAAAGCCTGGAGTTACTTGGGGCACTATTGGATTGGGGCAAATTGGACCCTAGAGACAACTTGCATCCAAGGCAAGGGTCCAAATTATCCCATAGGCCTTGCAATGCATAAAACATATATCATGGTAGTTGATGGTTTGATTGGAATAATTTGAAAAGATGCTGTTTTATTTTCAGGAAATTCAGTTTTATTGATTGAGGGGCGTGATTGCAGAGAACAATAAGGAAGATATTTAAATAGCCTCTTTTTAAGTCAATCGATCAAACGAACAGTTACATTGTACCATGGCATATGTTCTAGAATGTTTTATAGCTTTGTACGATGGCTAGCTTTTACAATATGAAAGCAAATAGAGAGTGTAAAGCAGCAGAAATTCAGCTCCTCCTCCTTTTAGGAACAAAATCTTACTTGAATAAAACACACCCATGACTTTGCTTTTCCCATTTCAGGATGGAATTACACACGCTGAACAATAGCAGTGTCACCCCTACTGAACCAATACTATGGTGGAGATAATGAACTCTTGACTTAAAAGTAACTAATAAAATTTCGACCTTAAACTGGTATCAATTAAACAATCACTTTATTTTTTAACATAAGATTCACAAGTGTACATATAATATGTATCTGCCCTTGTATTATCAGTGTGAGCAAAGTGTACTTTACGCATCGTTTTGTATTGAAAACATCGTAAACAAGCATACAAATGCCGAGTTTGTTATGTTGCATCATGTGCTTCTTTTTTATACTTGCCAAAGCAGAGTGTCTGCGTATTTAGCATGACGGGAAAACAGCGAAAAACACAAACTTCCAGTTTTCGTCGATTCCTTGAAAGTGTTGATTTCTTGAAAGGTGAGCCAATCTTTCCTTTGAAGAAATTTGCAGGATATCTTAGTAAAAAAAAATGGCCCAAGCATCATCATTTATATCCATGCGATTGTTTGTTATTTAATGACAAAAAAGACCTCACTTCGGAGGACTTTCTTCACAGAATGCACCTCATGTATTACTTTACACTGCAAAGTGCGTTCATTTAAAAGTTTTATTACTCAAGTCTTTAACGTGCAGGTCCAAGATTTCCTTCTTTTCATATCAGACGTATACCCAGCCTTTTCACGCTTTCCGCGCTGTGTCCCCAAATTGTACACCTTTTTGGAAACGCTTCTAAAACAAAAAGTACGCGGCGGTTTCGTTTGCATCGCTTATCTCTCCATTAAATACCTTCCTACTGCATCCGATAACCTTTAAATTTTTATGCATCACTTTTTCCAGCTGGTTCAGCCTTTGCTGATCGACTTTGTATGTTGTCTTTAGCCCACAATGTATGGCGCTTAAAAGTCCCTATGTCAGAAGCAATTACGGACACAACCACGGAAACTACAAATATCACCCCAACACTTCCGGTGACAGCGGCGCCAGGGGCCTCCTTTGGTGGGTAGCGAGCGGTGCGCTTTTCTACCTTGATGGGGTGGCCTGAAAATACACATACTTGAATCTATTATCGCTAAAAAATTGATGTTCTTACAAGCAGCAAATCTATCTGAGAGATTGGTTGAGATGCAATCCCATTTATACTTTGTGCTCTGCCACACCATTGCCAATATGCCCGCAATTATGAGGACAATGGTTGTAATGCTTCCAAAGTTTAGGGTAAGTTTAGGGTAAGGGAAACCCTCCAATCGATACACATGAACTACGGAATGAAATTCCACGCGCACCACACACAAATATGAACTGTGTCGCAAGACACGCTGGAAATTGAAAAGATCTAGGCGAGGCGAACCACCCCTGCAAGGAAGAGCGTGTAATTTCCTTGAGGAAAATCAAATCAGTAAAATGAAAGTGTAGATTTTTTAAACAAGCTAGCTGCAGTCGTGTAGTCCATATTTCAGAAGTCTGTAATGCCTTTAACTCACTTGCACAAACGATATCTGGGGGAAGCCAGTCCCCTTGAGCTGTGCATCTACTAAACCGCTGTGTATCGCCAGTGGAGAAAACATAACCGTCGGTGCAGTTGTATTCGATCTTGGTGTCGTACATCCATGATGTCTGGTTATCGTCCAGTGGCTCGCTGTAGTTTGCAAACACACCAACAGGTGGTGGCACAGTGCAATTGATGACTGAAACAAGGAGATATACACTGTATAACGGTTGGTGAAAGTAGGCTTTAAAATGGTTTTTATTCACTTGATTGGCAGAAGCGAGTAGTTGCCTTAACTGCATTTGACAACAGTACCAATAGTAAAAAATGCATCTGCATACGAATAAAGTGTGTTCTATTTGCCTGCGGATTTTACGTGGTGAATTTTTTATGCGTTACGCTCTCGTCTGGAAGTATAACTGTTTTTAAAACGGAAAATAGAGGCGTGCAATTCTAACCCTTCACAAAATACACTCCGATTTCAACTACAGTAAATAATCAAACATCCTACAAACCTTGACAACCAATGGGACTTAATGTAGGTGTCCAGGTTGCAGATATTCCACAGGTCTGGTTCCCTGTCTTAGAACCGTCCGGCATCATAAATCCTTTATCACATACATAAGTTGCCACGCTCTGGTAGGTCAGACCAGTAGAGTTGATGACTCCATTTGCGATTGGCGTCAACTGCGGGCAGGACACCGCTAGAACGCAAACTTAATAATTAGAATGCCTTCGTGATTTAATGCATTAATATATTATAGAACCTACACCACTGTTAAATTTTTACTAGAAAATTCTGAAGTTTGGGGTATCTTGCAGTTCTGAGAATCAGAAGGATAAGCCCCGTCTTGTGAATTTCAAAAGAAACTGACTAAATGATGAATACTTCTAGTAAAGGACAAGTATCGATGACCTTCCAAATGAAATGTGCGTTACATACCTACACAGGCTGGAATCCCCGTGACCGTCCATGCTCCAAGTTCATTACACCTGGTAGACCTTGTAACAGTGCCATCAGAAAACATATATCCACTGTCGCATGTATAACCAACCACAGTGTCATAGGCTGTAGAGGAGGTATTGTAACTGGCAAACGTCACGTTCTGTACAGCAGGACAGGTGAATTCTGTAACATATCGAAGTTTGTCACTTATGTTCGTTTGAGCTAAAGAAAACTGCAAGGTCCAACCAAAACACCACTGTAACCTCAAACCACCTCCTTATCATATAATACTTCATATTTAAACATTAACAAGGTCAAGCTGTTGATACTGATCGTAGTCTTGTATCATGTAACCGTCACGTAAAACTAATGTCTCACATGTGGCGTCAGCCTGACATGTGACAGTCATACGTAGATCTACTTACGGTCACAGCTTGCTGGTACGGCTGGTGACCATGTGCCATCAGCCTGACATGTGACAGTCATGCTTACAGTCACAGCTTGCTGGTACGGCTGGTGACCATGTGCCATCAGCCTGACATGTGACAGTCATACTTAGATCTACTTACGGTCACAGCTTGCTGGTACGGCTGGTGACCATGTACCGTCAGCCTGACATGTGACAGTCATAGTGGTGCTGCTGAGAGAATTAAACTGCCATCCACCGTTGCATGTCAAAGTGACCGAGGTGCCATAGTTTCTGACTGCTGATGATGCTGTTGCCTGAGTAACACTTAGGGCGGGACACTGCACGACTGGGAAAAGAAATATCCAGTTGCCAAAAGAAGTTGTCATTATCTTTAGATAGGGACTTTAAAGTCGTTAAAGGTCATGACCATTTTCATTTTCCAGAACCAATGTGCTACGACACTTAAAACTGTATAAACCGTTTTATAACAGGTAATACAAGGGTAATATTTCAGACTTACAAGTACAGCTGCTTGGTATAGATTGGTCCCAACTGGCCGTGTTAAGGCAGTTTGCTGTGAGAACGGTGTTTGATGTTCCCGGGATCAAATGATTGGCATTGCAGGTAATGGTCACTACACTGCTAACGTTGTAATAGTCGGACAGGGTGACAGAGGCAGTGTTCGCTACATTAACAGGTCGACACTGTACAGCTGTAAAATATCATGTATAGGTTCTAAATAAATGTGAACGAACAATTACACCAAGCTCATAATATTAAATTCATTGTATATTATTATTACCTCCGCTAAGGAGGTTATGCTTTCACCCCTGTCTGTCTGTTTGTCATCAACATAACTCAAAAAGTTATGGACCGATTTTGATGAAATTTTCAGGGTAGGTGGGAAATGAGTTTACTTAGAAGTGATTAGTTTTGGTGGTGATCCGGATCAACAATCAACCAATTACCAATAATAATCAAAAATCGCTGCCTTGGCGGAGGTCTGCGCTCTCGGAGTGCTTTTTAGTATGATAATATAATACCAACTGGAAGGTATATTTGGTATGCTTGGACAAATGTCAGTGGTGGACTCTTATCCATTGAAACACCTCGTCTTATTAACACTTACGCACGCACTCTGTGAACTCCTTATCCCAGGTTCCATTCTCTGTGCAGGTCACTGTCTCGGTCAGCGTGTATGTAGGGTACATATAACCCGCATCACAGCTCAGACCCACTGAGGTATTGAAGTTGGTGTTGTTGTATGTGTCCACACTCCCCAGATTGATAGACGACGAGTTCAGTTCTGGACAGGTGACAACTGCAAGTAAATTAGAGAGTCTAAGCTAATAGAGTGTAAGTGCTCTGACATTGTGGAGGTCTGATGAACAGTATTCTGCTAAGGTATGATTTTTTTTTTTTTTTGACATTATGTAAGTTGTGTGGTATTGACGTGCGAATTGAATGAGATGTGATGTACTAATCTGTGTTAGTTTTGATATAGTTGATATTGGCTTCGTTGTGATTTACTATTAAAAAATGTGTTCCACTTACTTTGACACGTCTGAGTTGCTGTCCAGTTTCCCCCAAACTGACATTCTACAGTGTAAGAATTGTTGCCGTCCGGTAAAACGTAACCAGGGGCGCACGAATAGGTGAGCACGGCACCGACAGACGAGTTGCCATTGAACTCATTGACAGTATTAGACACATTGACAGGAACTCCACATGGGATCACTGAAATATAAAGATACGGTAAAGCAAATACACAGGCTGAATAAGCAAAAGCGTACAGGTTGCATATTTCACTGTGATTTACTTGGTCAGCCTTTGTCGGATATTGCATTAACAGACGACCAGGGTTTTTTAATTTCTTACTGCTTATGTATAGTTTCTGCAGGTGGATGTTGCGGTATGGTATAATTGGGCCATACTTACTTCGGCATGAAGACGGGGTACTCCAATATGGTCCAAACATGCACTGACTGGACGTAGAACTGTTACCATCCGCCATCTCGTAACCCGCCACGCACGTGTACGTCACAATGGCGCCAACAGAGGAGTTGCTGGAGTAGTCATTGTTGGAATTACCAACGGTGGGCGGGGCATCGCACGGAATAGCTATGAAGATAAAATGGCGTCACATCAGGGAATAAAAAGGTAGACACGATACACATATGTAAGTTTCACTGAGTATATAATGTATTTGACTGTTTACTGACTGAAAGCAGAGAAACATTTATCCAGACACAGCGCCCTGCGTCAGCCGCTGCGTACGTTGAACGTAAACCAAGACCCAACGTGTGAATGTTCTGCTTTAAAAAAAGGTATTTTTTAAATAAGTAAGCATCATACGGATGATTCAAAAAAGCTATATTGCACAGGGATGGTGAATAACTTATTTCAGGCAATCACAATTCAAATAAAAATAATCAGCGAAAATAATGAGCGAAAAAAAACGTGTTGGCATTTGTTATTTTAATGAGTGGAACAAAAAAAAAAGAATTAAACTAAAAGTAACAAAATACCACCAAATTCAGTTTGCGTGGAGTACTTGGCGCCACAAACCCTCTCCTGTAACGTGAAATTTACTAGGTAGCACAGTTCATTTGGTTTTTATAAACATTGACAAAACTGTATTATTTGCATACTGTACCAGAACAGACAGGAGTTGCTGACCACGATCCTCCAATCTGGCATTCTATAACCATGCTGCTATTGCCGTCCGCCATAGAATACCCTGAATTGCACGTGTAGTTTACAGTGATTCCTACGGATGTGTTCCCGGTAAAGTCGTTGGTTGACTGGGAAATGTTAGCAGCTGCTGGACAAGGTACTTCTGCAATGACAACCCAAAAACGTCTTTTTGTAATGTTCAAGAACAAGAATTATACAAATAGGAATCTATAAATGTAGTATTACAGAAAAAAGAGGTTATAAAATTGGTTATGGATGGTTTACAAGTTAGAATGTTTATATTGAGCCAAACTAGCTAAAATGAACCTACTCTGACACGTAGGAACTGTCGTATCCCAGTCCACCCCGGCCCCAGAAATGTCACATGTCAGTGTTTTAGTGGTCCCTCCTCCCGGTAGACCATACCCATTATCACAAGTGAACTGTACCACAGACCCAAACACGTAATTGCCGCTTGTGTCATTGGCTGTGGCGTGGTTAGATGCTGTCAGGGTATAGTTATTACAAGGTTGTGCTAAAAAAGAAATTAGAAAAAAATAACACGTACAACTCTGTTTTCTATTTCATTGAATACGTAGCCGCAAATTTCTATTCTACTCTTTCTTTAATTTTTCTTAGTCTTAAAACAGATCCACCTAGAATATAAACTACAAAGCTGACATTCGCACATAGCACAAAATCTTATTCAATCGGGTTATTTCCCAAAAGATCGATATCAGAATTTTGAAATTAATAAAACCCATATACTGTATAAGAAAGTCCCAGGTCAAATAAGTAGGCTAATGAAAGGGAAAATATTCTTTTTATACACAGGTGAATGTGACTAGTGCAGGTGACTCAACGGTTCAGAACCATTTTTTACTGTCAAATTACCATCACAAGATCCGTTGCTGGCGTCCACGTCATAGTTACCACCTGCATTACAATTAATAGTGCCTCCAAATCCCGAGAGCTGGTATCCTGATGGACAAGTGTAGTTTACATGCCCACCAATAAAACAGCAGGTAGCACTACACTGACTGTACGCCTTTGTTGCCTGGGCAATGTTTGGTGACGCACCGCAAGGAGCAACCGCTATGAAACAAACGAGCAAAAAAGTTGCCGTCAATGACTTAACTACTCCCCAGTGTATATAACTGATACTGGAATAGCTATTGACGGACGTATTTGGGATTATTAGAATGATAGTTGCGTAAAATGTGACCATTACCATTAAATTGGTGATTTTGTGACGGAACTAAGCTGTAGAAATCGGCGTATAGCTTTCCATTAAATGCTATGCTATACGTAGCCGTTCGGAAGCATTTCGTGACTTATGCGCTAGAGGTACGGTAGCTAAACCGACCGTCGTATGGGAAGCGTATTGTTACATACATTTTCGGACACTGTATCGAATTTAGCGTATGTTAGTATTTTCTCGCCCGTTGCGTGTGAGAACGTACACCGACTTTTGCAACGATACTTAGTATATTACACCTAGTACAGTATAATGTCAATAACGTTTTCCTCCGTATTCCAAAGGTTTTCTTAGTAATCCTTACGAAACCCCTCAGTTTGTCTGCATACATGAGCAATATTTTTCATACGTTAGCATACGTTAGTCCCATACGCAGGAGGGTACAGGGTGCGCTAGTAGTCTGTTACATAATTATTGTATCGCTGATACAATGTATGTTTAATATTGTATACTATTTAAAAAGTCACTGATATCAGATCCTTCACCCACCTTGCTGACATTGGTATATGAAGCTGGCCCCGCAGCTATGAGCGGAATATGTTATTGACACTGTCGAGGCGGAGTATGTGAAGGTAGCTGCTTGGCACTGCCCATTGCTGGCTGGTTCTGCATTACCTGGCCATCGGTTAAAGCCAGGATCCATGCCAGACCAGGCACTGCCATCATTCTCTATGCCTACCCAACGCTGAGTGGCATCGGTACTGTATGCAAATGATAAAAAATAAAATCAATATTACCACAAAAAAAAAAATAAATAAATAAATAAAAAGCGGATAATTTTTTTACGTTTTGTTTTTCAATATAAGTTATCACAAAATACTATTGCTGAAATTAGCTAATTTTTTATGTAAGGAATCAAATGACAATTAGTCGGTTTGTTATGGAACGTGTCAACGTAAATCATGACCAGATAAAGACAAAAAAAAACTTACAATTCGTGGTATGAATTTACAGTAGCACTTGTCGGTGCTGGTAGGACTGAGCAAATGTTTTCACAGTTTTGCTTGGCCACGGTGTATGTGACCGGGGTAGTGTCCTTACACCATTGTTCTGTTGCGTCCACTAAGGACCTGCCAAATGTGGGACAATCGGGGATTGTTATCGGACCAATAACATCCTGGGTGCATCCAAGTAAGATAAAGGCAATCTGAAAAGATGGAATGTCGCTTTTTAGCTACACCCAGCTTGGCGCGCATAGCAAACTAATTCAATGCGCCGCCTCATAATAGATGCATTTTTCAAATGCGTGTCTCTTTTTCTGTCAGAGAACTTGCGGTGATTATTTATAAATAATGAATTGATATTGATGTCATAGAAGTGAGACCGTTTTGTGAAATAAGCTTAATTTGTGTTTAGTATTGATTTATTGCTGAACTGTTGCCACAACAGCTTATCATCAATGTAGGTGAACCTTTGTGTCTATTTGCACGATCGAATCAATTATTGGCTTTTGGTCTTTGTTCTATTCCGGTTGCACAGTTTAGTGAAATGTTTAGTTGCACTGTGTATCAATAGAGTGCGTAACTTTTGGTGTTGGGAATTGAAGGCAAATAGGCCTTGTTAATAATATTATCTCTGAAGCCACTGGTTGTAAGAAAAAACATCGGATGTGCAAGGTGTGGGTAACCGATAAAAACACACACACAAACTGATTTACAAAGGGGAATGGATGTGCAGCTTTTTGAATGGGTGGGAATAAACTTTGAGTTGGCTAAAAGAGAAAAATCATCACGAAGCCTATTTAGAAATAAAGCAGTTGGGTATATACATGTACATGCATGTTCCACAATTAGTACGATGACTCATCTTGAAAACCCATTATGAATTCCACAATTCCCATGATTTTAAAATTGTGAGGTTATGCACTTACAATTTGATTTTTGTTTCCAATCGTCTTTATATTTCTTAATACGTGGTTAAACGTTATAAGTGTCAAATAAATGTTTGTTCATCAGATCAATGATATAATACTTCGCAAAAAATATATTTCATCAAGCATCTAGACAAAAAGGTAATGATATTATTTCTTAGTCATCAATGTTGTTGTTATTGGTTTACTAACGGGAGGAATAACAAAACCAAAACCAGACCTTTATGACACGTAACCTGAATGAACAGTGTGCTACGTGTGGTCTACACTTGTAAGCTTACTTATGTACCTGTTACTTTTCTACCACATCCTTAAATTAAAAGGTAGGTCATCTGAAATCGATTGATATCAGGGTTTCGTGGGAACTAAGTATGAATAATAAGGCTTAAGTGGACAAGGTAAATGATTATAGCCGTGCTCATCCCGCCATGTAGCCTACAATGAAGACGAAGCTATTTAAACAGTTCACAATACCCGGAAACATGCAGCGAAAACTTTGAAGAACGCCCGGCTGGTACATAGGCTTGCATTATTTTTAGAATTGTTTGGATGAAAATGCTCTAAATCAAATATTTCACAACCATTTTCATTGTGAAAGAATCTCAACTTACCAGAAAACATTTAGGATAATACTATTAAATATTAGGATAATACTATTACAGATGGATTAATTTACTTGCTTTTTTCACCTTTTTCCCTATGTTATTTCAACGCAGCACGCTCATTATGGGATTATGGGAGCAAACAGACAAAGGTAGCTGTGTGTCAAATAAGCTCGCAAATGCACGGGCAGGCCTTAAGACGCTTAACTTCGACTCGTACAAATGTCGCTTGAATGAACCAGCATTATTTTTAAGTAGATGCCCCACATAGCAATTTTTTATCACTTGACCTAGACATCTTGATATTCAGAATAATTTGTGAAGTTGAAAGCGTTTTTTCAAGGAAAAGGTATGTAAAAAATAAATCTGTTTCAAAACGCGGTGTGACGGCAAAATTATGGGTTATCTAATGCATTTAATCCTCATAGCTGGAAGAAAAAAAAAGAAAAATGCAAATTATGTCTGGCGGTTCAATATATTTATTAATGTGTTTGAACTAGAATTAAAAACAACATCTAAAGTCTCTCCAAGATCTAAACGCACGACATAGACCCCATTTCCATAGATTTTATTTCGATCTATCCCTGTGGGGAGGCTCACTAGATTACTGTCAGCTTAGCGGGCTTAAGCGTCTGTCCCGCTTACTGAAAGCTGTAAGGGGGTAATTAACCATGGCGCGCGCTCGGCTGACTGCAATTTAGCGTGAACCCCAAGGGAGTTAGGTCGATCTAAATCTTAATCTCTGGATCGATCTAAATCTCTGGGAATACACCCATAGGCTCATTATACCAAATCATATGTAAAAGGTTTTGATGGAAATTCATCTGTCTTTTGATTATTTTAGACGTTTAAACATTTCAATTTCTACACTTATTTAAGCTGCACCTAAACAAAGCTTACACCCCATTTCCATAGATTAGATCGACTTACTTTAGATCGACCTAACTCCCTGGGGTTCACGCTAAATAGCTGTCAGCCGGGCGGACACGAAAGTTAATTATCCCCTTACAGCTTGGCAGGGACGGACATTTAAGTCGGATTATCTGAAAGTAATCTAGTGAGACTTCCCGCGGGGATAGATCGATCTAAAATCTATGGGAATAGAGCCTTAGATGGAGGTTAAGGAGGGGTTAAGGAGGCAATCTACGGGTGCATTCCCAGAGATTTAGATCGATCCAGAGATTAAGATTTAGATCGACCTAACTCCCTGGGGGTTCACGCTAATTTGCAGTCAGCCGAGAGCGCACCATAGTTAATTACCCCCTTAAAGCTTTTAGTAGGCGGGACCAAGAAGTTATAAAGAGATCTCGTTATAACTTCTTGGCGGGACAGACGCTTAAGCCGGCTAAGCTGACAGTAATCTAGTGAGACTCCCCACAGGGATAGATCGATCTAAAATCTATGGGCATGGGGTCTACATCCGTGCCCACAACCCAAGCCTGATCAGAGACGTGGGGAGACACCATATGGGACAGCACTATCATTGAGACCCTAGTGAAAAGTGCTCAGTCTCAGAGGAAAACTCTGAGGAAGATCACTTGCAGTAGTGATCGAAAGCCTTGTTTGGGTAGAGCTCAAATAAGTTTAGAAATTGAGAAGTTTAAACGTCTAAAATAATATGTAAACTTTGTGGGGCCCTATACGCAGCCACATTCTAGCTGTTTTACCTTACACTGTAAAAACAGTGTTTAGCATTTAAATACATACAACACACGTTAGGCACCTATACGCATTTAGAATTATGTGCAAAAGCTAAGCGCGTATAGCTTTTCAAGCGTTTCACAGAAGTAAAAGCTAGACACGTTGGCAGTGTTACACGTTTAGCTATGTGTTTAACTTCACCGGCATATGACTCTATAAAAAGTCTATCACAAGCTAAGCACATTGGCTAAGCACTTCCCCTGCTAAGCTCGTGAGGCTGCTAAACATATATGGAGCTGCTATAGGTGTGGAATTCCTAAACACGTGGAGCTGCTGAACAACACGTTCAGCTTTTCAAGCTTGTCACAGAAAAAAAAACTTCACAATCCCATGTATACGATCCCATAACTAGTTTATTACAAGACTCAACAATTTGGCTTAACACTTCCCCTTGTAAACGTGTGGAGCTGATGGAGGCGTGGAGCAGCCTGATCGAACGCGTTGTGTCCTTCCTTGCAGTAACGGGTGATTATTTAAAATAGGCTTATTAAGTAATAATCCAAGTAACAAGTTCACGACGTTATCAGCTGGTTACATGATTGTGATGGTATAGAATAACGTTATGGTAACGTTATGGGTGTTTTTAACTCCATCCAAAATGATGCCCTGCGGTTTTATAAGCGTTTTATAACATTCTGGAAAACATTATTTAATGTTTTGAAAACCTTTTTTATGAATAACCAAAACACGTCTTATGCTGTACTAAGATCTTATATATCCTTTTATTAGATCTTAGTGCTGTATGAACTACAGTTAGCGGTTTATTCAAAATTGGGCTTGGGTTAGTAGGCGACTAGAGCGATGCGATTTGTTAAATATTCGGACTATAGTTACCAAAATAACCAGCATGCGATGAAAGCTTATATAAACCATTATAATGAATACCCCACCATCATCCTGATGTTCTATTGTCCATTACTTCCGGAAAAAATAAATAGACATCCATACCGTAACGCATTTTATCAAAATATGACAAAAAATGTTTTAAAGTAAAAGTGATAGCTGTTTCGTGTTTTTAGTAAACTAGTGAATTTTCCTAACTTGATTTGCAGAAATATATTCCAATAAATTCCCTCGCAAGGTCAGCTAACACAAGGATGAATAAGTCCCGCTGCAAAGGTGACGGCGTTAAGTCAACGATGTTGACAGTTCACGGAGACCTGTTATAGATAGAGATAACTATAGCAGTTACAGGTGACCGTGACTCCGTGTGTGTGTGTGTGTGTGTGTGTGTGTGTGTGACTAAAACAGTAGAAACCCCTACCACCTAAAAGTTAAGTAAATGCACCCTACGTCAAACACGTCAAAGCGTGTAACATGTTAAGGATCTTAACGTGCTTAGGAGCTAAACGCGTCGAAAAAATGAGACAAAACAGGCGCTTAGAAATGTGTTTAAGTGCTAAACACTGTTTTTACAGTGTAAAAGCTTTTCCTCCCTCCTTTTCTCGGTGATATATTTCTGCCTCAATGCCCTCTCTCAACAAGTAATTATTGAAAAATATTTTTAAAAATAATAAAAGTGATAAAGCCGATTATGAGAGAGAGAGAGAGAGAGGGAGAGAACAATTATCGATACGAAGGCCCATTACATTGAGATATAGTTATTAATAGGAAAAGAGTTATTAAAATCTAAGTGATCCCCTATAAATAATGTTGGTTTATATTTACCATCTAAACTCTTATCATACGTCCTTACCTTAAGCCACAGCATTATGCATTTGACGTCCATTAAAATAAAAACTTTTAGAATATCGAAGAAGCTCCGAGAGAAGTGGGTGCTATGTCAGAGCAACTGCAATGACTACAGCCGATCGTTAAAATATTGGCTTTGTACAGGTATGATTTGAAAAACGGAAATCAATACCGTTCGATTCAATTGTTTCCTTTACTTAAGGCATGCGTGCTCATAACAATAACAATAACACAGTTAAAGTGTGCTATGCGCAAGTACATACACGTGCCGAAGATACAATATTGATTGAAATATTATTGATTCTTTTACTTACAATATGCTCTTCCTTCTTTCAATTTCAGGAATGATCAAGCATATTTCCTCACTCTAGGATACAAAGAAGAAAATTTCGAGGGTGAAGTTCCATAACATTTGGTGGCGGAAAGATAGAGCTGCCCCTCAAACAGTAGGGATGGAAAGCACGAGAGACGTCTCTCCACCAATAAAGGCGATGTAGTCTGGTGCGAAAAAGGGGTTCAGGTGCGACCCATAAAAATCTTGATGTCTATTTTTTATATTTCTAGGTGTTCACCGAGCGAAAATGTCTCGTGGGGGTTCATATTAATGTTGTACAGGTGTAACACCTTGTGGCTTAAATGGGCACATTTAAAATAGTGGGAGGAAATCATATTATTTGTATTCAAATATAACAATTCTTCAAACACCTTTGTGTAGATGAACGTTTGGGAGTGGAATATTTTACCCATCAGTCTTAGACAAATTGTGAACCCTGGACATTTTAAAAAGGAACTAAAAACCCACCTTTTTAAACAATATTATCTTTAAATTCTTGAAAAAACACTTCTTAAGAAAAACTGTTCTTAGTCATAGTTTTAAATTTCCCCTTTTTTTATCCATTTGCACCTTTTTTTTATTTTATAACCATTAGCAATATTTTTCTTTTAATTTGAATTTATAATTTTTGTAAAGTCTACTGAACACATGTTGGATTTTAGACTATAAATAAATATTATTATTATTATTATTATTATTATTATTATTATTATTATTATTATTATTATTAACGTTTACTCTACCCTAAGTAATAAGTAATAAAAGTTACGTAAAATTGAATCGTGTATTAGTAAATGGGGTCAAATGTTAAATGAAGTAAAATTTAAGGCATTTTCAGTAAAATAAACTGATAAAGTTTATCTTATTAGATAATTTGAGCGAAGAATGTTTCTCTCGGGTGTGTTTGGTAAATTCAATCTATAGTACAAGGGTTTAATGGGGTAATAAGAGTTCATTTGACAATGGGTGAGATTTATATCCGATAATAATAGTGCAGAACGGGTTCAGCTCAATTTCCAATTTCGGGGGACATGGGCGAGCTGAGGGAAAGGGCGTCATTCAAAGAATTGAGATCTACCAACTGCCTTGGGTGACACGACTGTTGCTTGGTAAACCGACGGCCCTTAAATTTTACAGATATGTCTAGTAGTTCACTGCAAACATGTCCTGTTTTTATGAGAAAAACATGTACAATTATGGTATTCTGTCAACCTGTAGAAGTGCAAAGCACCTGTTATGAATTACCCGTTCCTACCCCTGGGTTCACAGAATTGGTTTTGTAGACCCCCGTAGTTCGCCCTATGCCAAAGGTTCACATGTTAGAAACCTTTTGCCATCAGTGACCACCATCGTATTACATACCCATCAGAATAGTTTGCGATGGTGTCAATGATTGCCATGACGGTATTGATAAAAATCGATTGCAGCAACTATTCCTCTTTAGGCCTGTATGAATGCAGAGGGCAAGTTCAGGCCTACCCAACTACCAGACACGGCACCGAATTATCTCGAATTCACCGGTAGATCGGGCCACACTACCCGTTTTCAAGGTGTGCGTCAGTAGGCATTTCACAGTATCATACCCCGGAACAAATTTTGAGATGAGATGCACTACTTTCCAACCCCGCTGAGAATTCGTGTCTGACGCCTTGAAAAAAGGGTAGTGTGGTCCAATCTACCGGTGAATTCAGGATCATTCGGTGCCAAGTCTGGTAGTTGGGTAGGCCTGAAGTTAATTGCTTTCCGCAAAGCGAGTTCCATGACGGCACTGCCCATTGTAAACTGTGAAGGATGATGAAACATACGACGTTTTTCACTGTCCTTCTTATCGCAGTTGTAAAAGATTTTCTGTTATTTGTCCTGGAAATCTCCCAAATTAAAATGATGCATTAACCCAGATCCCTTTAATTAAAAGTGACAAGGTGCAAAATATCATCCTGAAAGATAATCTTCTTTCAAAGTGCACTCTGAAAAACTACAGACTACTGTTATTTCCTGACTTATCCAACAATCCTAGCTGTTTCGAGACACTGTTAACCTACGAAGCATCGAACTGTCAAAAAATGACATAAGCATCATCCACTCCAGGGTTTTTTTCTAATTAGCGCTCTCTTCAAATGCTGAAATTACAATCCCCTTACTGTTCTTCCACAACATTCTTTCTGCAATCTACCTACTTTGAGAACCATACAGTTGTCATATGGCCAACTTCAATCCTTTGACAACTGTTCATTTTATAACGTTTGGATTGTATTATTAAACGTGTCGAGGAACTTAGTCCAGCCCTTTAACGCCAGTTCGTTTTGTAGTTGGCATTATGTCCGAACAGTTGAAATTCTATTTTACCATTAAAACAGCGGTTAACGCATTTATTTTGGAGTTTGTGCTTGTCATCACATCACGTGACCTCCGTAGATGGCTATACTCTGTTATAATCTCTTAAGAGAATATTACAAAAAAACAAAATTTTTATTTAAAAAAAAAACAGGGACTAACTTTGAATGTGGGGGTGGATTCATTTACCATTGGGAAGTATGGGAAAATTGTCCTTTACCCCAGGAAAATTCATTTTTTTGACCAAAATGAACAGTTGTTATTCCTTTAAGCTACGGCTATGTTGCGACCGACATACACCACCTATATGGCACGCGTACATTTACGACATGGTGCAACTGGCATTTCTCTGGCGTATCGTTTTGCACTGGGGGAGATGGGGCGAGAGATCGTTTTGTTACTGCCTGTTGGTTCATCACCCTCAACAAGATCATCGATTCAATAATTTGCAGTAAATAATACGCAGTGCTGTTTAAGTGCAGTTTTGCCACTTGCTTTCTGCATCACAGATTAATTTTTTAGATCCTTTGTGAAGCACCGCAGGTGCCTGTCGGATTCTTTCCGGGGTATTGATTTCATCATGAAATTATCCGAACAAAAACAAGTATTCAGTTTTATTACAGTTGTCGAAATATTGTCGGGGTAGGCATATCAATTTCCTAATAAAATGAACCCAGATAAAAAAAAAACAAGTGTTCATTTTCTTTGCATTCGGTGTCATGTTTGGCTTTCACAATGATCGACAGATGAAAACGGTCTCAGTACAATGACTAAGCAGGAAAGAATTTAATGAATGGAAATTGACTATGGGCAGATGATTCGAATTTGATACTTATTTTAAAAAAAAGGCACGTGACGCGCTTGGTCCATGTTTTAAGTTACTAAAATGGATATTCCTGCCGTTACAGTACAGTATTTCTTTGTCCCAAACGTGTCCATTATACATTACACAGGCGCTGAGCTTACTTATGCACCGATTTGGTGAACCTTTCGATGTACAGTAAAATCGGCTGAATACGGGCAAAAGTAAGCTCAGCGCCTGTGCTCTATTTCATGGAAACGTTTGAGACAAAAACAGCCAGGATATGTAGTTACTCGCTTCACACAATATTTCAAGTGTAACGTGTGTGAAAGAGACAAAGTGACAGGGTTATCAGTGGACCCAATGGGGCCATTCAGAATAAAATGTCCAAGTATCAGTTGTTCCAAGGATGAAATATGGCGACCCCTACGTGAAAGGAAGACCGCGTAATCCTGTAATGGTCTCTCCGCCTCTTACACGCTTCCCCACGCGTCGTCCCTGCGGGGGCACAGTGCTTAAATCTCGGCTCAATTCAACCGGTCGAGGGACGACACGTGGGGAGGCGGGTGAGAGGTTACACTATACACAGAGCACACGTAACCTGGTAACACCGGCAACCTAACCGGCACTTTTTATTTTCCTTTGTTCATGGTGTCACTCGTCATCCAAAAATGAATGAAATCTTAAAACGCCCAAGGAAGTGAGTTCTAAACAAATTTTACATTGGACATAAAAGGATGTTTACGTTTTCAAAAATCTGATATATATATATATATATATATATATATATATATATATATATATATATATATATATATATATAAAAGAACGGTCTCCAAAACAGGCACTGCTGATGGTAATAGTAGTAGTACATGTAGTAGACAGCCGTCGGACCCTGTCCATGAGTAACCGCACTTACGAACACTTTTTTTCGTGGTTGTTGATCAAATCAAGTCAAGAGAGGCAGTTCTCACAGGTAGATGTTGCCGATGGGACTGTTCGAGTTTCCGCCTCCCTCTTCATTTGGCATTTGTGTGTCAGCAATTGATCCTATTACGCCTGCCCACATGGGAATTTCAGGCAGGTGTTTTACTGCACGTGTTGAGTATCCAATGTCTTGTAATTCAGCAAGCGTATCATGGGTTTTTGTCTACGTTGCAACAACCTGAACCTACCGATAACACCCAGAGTTCAGTATTTATTGATGGGACGCCCCAAGCTCTTCCCCTTTTCCAGGCCGGAGCATGTGTGTCTATTTGGGCGCGGGCAAGGTGAGTGCGGAAAATGTTAATTTTGATTTAAGATTTATAGTTACGATCAGTTTCGAACTTGGGCTAGGGAAGTGGATGGGAGATGTATGGGACCATTCCCATAGATATTTGGATGGATCTATCTCCCTGGGGAGTCTCACTAAATTGCTTTCAACTTAACCGGCTTAAATATCTGCCACGCCTTTAAAAACCGCTAGGGGGTAATTATCTTTATCCCCTGGCTGATTCGGTAGTGCTGATTGAAAACAATAAAAAGCCTTCGAAAATATAAAATTCGGCGTTTATAATTTTTGTTGCGATGTATAAGCATGGGCAACTCAAAGCTTTAATCGTGAATTTAACACCTTTCAGTTT